TTTTTTTTTTTTTTTTTTTTTTTTGAGAAACCAGAGATGTGAAACTGCATCCCAGTTTGTATGTCCACAGCTTCGTAATCCAGAGTGGGAGCCTGATAAGCTGGAATTGTTTTTCTTTTACCTTCAGAAGGAAAAACTAAAATGTCTTCACATTAGATTCTCTGTCTTAAGAGTTTTCCTTCTGTAAATCATATTTTTTGAGTTCTATGAATTTTGTGGGATTGGGTTAAAGAATATGAATACGTATTATAAGAATGATAACTAGTGTACTTAGTCTGACTTTGTACAGTATATATACTCTATTTTATCTTAAGAGAATGAAACAACTATTGAATAATCCAATTATGATAGCTGTATTCCATGAACCAAGTAACAGGAGGGTGTTGGAATGTGATGTCACATTGCTGCCACTCTCCTAAAGGTTCAATGTTCTGTCAAATCTAAGATCTTGATAATTACCCGGATATTGTCAGAATATATTTCCACTTTTTCTACAAAAGGCACATTGGTGTGGTGAGGTAAAAGCACTCACCTCTTGTTTACCATCTGTGGCATGCAGCTGGACAGCAAGGGTTATCCCCATCATCCAGCTGTCCTGCTCTGACTCCTGTTTTACAGATGTGGTTACTGTTACAGGCTTTTTATGTGTATACCTGTTCTGTAGGTCATTCTGTGCTTTGTGTGGGAATGGAGTTTTAGCTTTTGTGTGTCCACCCCAAAATCTTTAGAAATTAATTAAAGAATCACTTCGGGCCAGGATTTGGAATGCTCTGATCTGAGCATGTTGAGTTACTTCTGTTTAAAACAGGGAAAAATAAGACAAATGCTCTTTGACCTCAATCAAACTATGCAATACAGCACACCAGAGAGCTGAATTCCTTGTGGTACAGAAGTGCAGCTCCTGTGTCCTTCCAAACCCAGTCCTTGGTCCAAGGTTAGGAGAGCTTGTATTCAATGGCTGCCCAAGAATCTTGTATCCAGATCAACTCTAGTTCACTGCTTTTCCTCCTGCCCCCTTGCCTGGCCCGGCAGTTTATCCAGGTCAGGTTGTTGGGTGTTTGGCCTGGAATGATGTGATATCCAAGTGTGCCCCTCATGTGGTCCCGTGGTGTTGTCAACTGGAGCTTGTCCTGTAACCCCACCTGTGTGGCTTTACCCGCTGGGGCCACTTCACCATGTTTGCACCTCCCTGCCCTAGAGCATGTCAGGTGTTTGGGGCTTGCTGTGCCCCCTGGATTGGTGTTGTCTTGCTTTCCCTATGTCTGTCACTTGTGGATCTGGTGCTTACAGTAAAGAATCCCTGTGATGTCTCAAATCCAGTCCAAGTACATTTTCATGTCTGCTGCTTCTGTACGAGTTTGATTTTTCTGCTTCTGTGGCAATTCAGGAATAAATGCCCATGTGGTCAGGACTGCTGGTAAAGGTTCTTTGTTCTTCCATTGCTTCATTTTTCCAGTGTAATTTGTTCCTTGTGTTCCTCTTCTTCCCCCTGTTAGAAAACGGGTACAGTTTTTCCTGGTTCTGCCTCCCATGAGGAGCTCTCCTTTCCCAGGTGATCGCAAACTCTTCATTTGCTTAACCCACCCTGGGCTCTACTCTACTCCCTCTACTATTTTGTCTCACTTTAATTCAGAATGACCTCGATTTCTTTCTCTGATTCCAAAAAGGGATTTTGGTGCATAACCTTTGAGACAAGCAGGAAAGCTGTCTCTGCAGGTGGCTGTGTACATCCATTCCCTCCCCAGCACATGCAGTGTAAGGGGCTCAGCCTGTTCCATTCCTCCCCCCAGGTTTTTCCTTAGTGCTAAGCAGACCACAGGCTGAAGCCATTTCTTATTTCTTTTGCTAATCGAAAATATTAAGAGATTTTCTTCTTCAGAAATTGCCACTGCAGATGAGCAGCTGGCATGAGAGAGGGTTGTTATGCTTCCATATTCAGTATTTTTAATTGAGGAACAAATAATTTATTTTGGGGAAAAATGTAAATTATTTTGTATTTGTATGTCAAAGTGGCCTTTATAGGAAAAGCACATAAAATATTTAGATTAAAATTGCTTAGTTGTGTAATTTCAGTGGGGATTTTTGTATTGACAGGGTTTCTATGCATTTTTCAAAATACACTTGCTGTTTTGTGTTAGAATTATTGGAAATCTTTTTAAAAACATGTATTACCACATTTTCCATGGCTGATCCCTTTACTACCATTCCTTTTGAATACTAAAAAGATTTTAATTAACCCTGTAAATTAATTTTCCCCCACAAATATTTGCATTAAGTCAATAAAATGAGTTATAGCATGGGTAAGTAGCTTTAAAGGAATAAGCCTTGTAGTGCAGCTTAATTCTGGAGAGATGTTTGCAGAAGGGTGGTACAGCAGCGTTTCAATTGCTCTTAAAACACTAAATTAGGAAATTAAGTTTTTGCTGTACCTCACTAGGGTTTTATTAAACTGTGTCCATCCTGTATTGTTTACACTTGAGCATTATTTAACTATGTATTATTTGTGCAGTTTGCAGTTCTCTGTTCTGTTGGGATTATGTGAACGTTAACAGATAGGAAAAGTTTTGGAGTGTGTGGTGTCCTCATGGGTTTGACTAGGGTTTGGGGAGGGAGGAGAAAGGAAAGTTAGATCCATTAGTATATTTTTTCCATTTATTTATGTACATGTTTTCACATTAGCTGAGACTGAATAACTGAACTTACAATTGAACTGTGAGTAAAATCAATGGTTTGAAGGTGGGGGAAATGAAGGGGTTGCAGAACTCCAGGCAAAAACCCTTTAAATTGCACTGTGGTACAACTGCCCTGACTGCCTGTGCAAAGCTTAGCCTGAGGGGATACATCAGACCCTGCTCAAATTGCTCTGGTTTTACTTTCTCTTCCCTAGGTGTTGCTGCAAGGTTTGCTCAGTAG